TTCTTTTGGATCACAATCTCTTATCTTTTGATAACACGGGAGCTGTTGTCGATATGCTTATTGGTATGTAAATTTTTGGTACATGAGTGGTACCTCCTTGGTACATTTTTCTAATACATTTACTAACTTTTATCTAAAAGAAAAAGTCAGCATTTAGCATTGCCCGCAATCTTGTGCAACATAACAGAAAGAAATTTACTGAAGCCAATGACTCTTTAGTAAGGAAAAGCTGGATAGCGGATTGATATGCACCCTATACATGCCTATTACTTTGCAACTTGCAAATGTATTGGCCAAAGGGTTAAGTAATGTTGGAGTTTTTATAGGTGAATAAAACTTGAATTTCTATTGACTTAAGAATTAATAATTAGTATGTTTTTAAATAGGTTTACATATAAACTAATTCTTTCAAAATAAAATACCACTAACTACATAATATCTAAAAGATAAATATGAATCAAATATCCTAAAAAATAAGCTCTCATTAAGCACATAATATTTAAAAAATAAATATGGATAAAATGTAATTAAAAGATAAACTCTATTTGACTTCAAACTAATGAATAAAATAAATTATAATTTTATATTAATGTTTAACACTCTCCCTTAATATAAAAATTACAAACACCAAATTTGTTTTATTGGAAGATTTTTCTCCAATATGTTTTGTTTAATTTTCATATTTTAAAGTACTTCTCTTCGATTGTTGATGCAATTTTCATCAATCTCCTATTATTGATGCATTTCTTATCAATCTCCAATTATTGATGTACTTCTCATCAAAATTTCTTATTAATCTCTTGGATTGTTCTTCATTGTGACTCTTTAGTTGAGTTGCAATTGCATGAGAGTGGGAATTCACTATCATTTTCAACTACATCCCACAAATTAAAAAATTGTACATATGTTTGCATGTTCATAACCCATAATTGATAATTTTTCTCTGTGAAAATGAGAGGTAAAAAATCAAATAAACAGTGTTCAACACTATATTTAATGTAAGAAACTCACTTATTCTCTCTCTTTATATATCTATTTTTCCCACCTATCTATGACCAAGAAAAGTTATGATACTATTTGTTGGATTTTTTTTAGGTGAAAAAAACTCAAATTTCCATTGACTTAAGGATTAACAACTTAGTGTGCAATTTCCATTGATTTAAGAATTAACAATTTAGTGTGTCTTTAAATAGGTTTACATATAAACTAATTTCTTAAAAATAAGATATCACTAAGTATATAATGTATAAAAAATAAACATGAATCAAATTATCTAAAAAATAAGCTATCACTAACTACATAATATTTAAAAAATAAATATAAATCAAATCTAATTAAAAAATAAACTTTATTTAAATTTAAACTAATAAATAAAATAAAATATAATTTATATATTAGTTTTTAACAAGTAATTTTGGGTTTTAGACTATTAGTAGCAAGTTGAGGATGAATAATATCTATTTACTAGTTTGGGGGAGTATTGAGAATTATATATGTGTAAGTGGGTAGGGTAAAGTGTATAAGCTTCACCAACCAGGGGAGCTTGTACTTGTATGAAATATCAAAATATGTTTGCTCACTTGCTTGGTCAGGATGCGCATGCTACATCATTTTAGATTGTTGTTTTCTTCTCCTAGATGTTTTATCTTATTTGATATATTGATTACATGAAAATAACTACTGCTAACTATTACCAGTCTCTTTGTTGTAAAGATTCAAGGTACAGATCTATATTCATTTTTCCTTGAGCAGACTGAATATAGTTCTTACCATTTCTATTGAGACTAACACAAGCCAGAATTATGTGCTCATAAAATTCTGCTGTTACGGAATCCTGGAAGTGAAGAAATGAGTATTCATTTAAGGCAGCACTCGGGTTCAAATGGGGTGTTTTATGTCTCTGATAGGGCTAATGGTGTAGAGATCAAACAA